CGCCGAAAGTCCTTTTTGTACCAACAAGCTAAGGACCTGTACTTTGTGTACAGCTTGTGTCAGGAAACCAAATCGTACCGTTGTCTTGTGGCCCTCATTCAGTCAGCTGTCTCCCTTTCCTTTAAGCTTCAGTTAACGGAGACTCGGGTGCAGTGACTTCCTCAAGGTCACCCAGCTGCTCAGAACCCCAGTGCCTGGTCCCTGGCTGGCTGGTGCCACCCTGAGCCTGTGTGGCCAGCAAGACTCCTGGTCCTGTTGGCTCTGGGAAGGGCCTGGCATGTCCTTCCTTCTTGGCTACAGTCGGGTCTTTGGCCTCGAGTGGAGCCACAGAAGCTGAGAAGCCGGAGTGGGCAGCTCCGGGGAGAAGGGGGAGGATGAGGGCTGAAGGGGTGCAGTCCGTGGCCTTCACAGGGTCACAGCCTTGCCCTGCCATGAAGTGCAAGTGCATCTTCACACTCTGTCTTGCTCCAGGGCCAGCCCAGCCCTGATGACGCATGAGGGCAAGTCCCACCCACCCGCTGCTGGGGTCTGCAGGGGGAGGCCAGCAGAGTCTGGTTACAGCCAGGGCTGGCTTCAGCTGTGGGAGGTCAGTTCTGGTTGGCCGTTGCCCTGGCACTTTCTGGGCAGGACGTTCTTGCTGATTTCCATATTCTCAGTACATGCCACCGGGGTGGCCTCCAGCAGATGCTGGGCAAGTGTTTGCTACCAGAGTGGGCGAGGCCTGAGACACTCACGTCGGTACTGTTCTGCCCGGCACCGAATGTTCATGGACCGAATGGGTGACCTCCTAGGAGTCTCTGCCCTCCTTCCGCCTTCATCTCCGCCTCTGTGATCCCAGCCCTCTGGGTAAAATCAGAGTGGACTGGGGTCCTGGGGAGAAGTGGGGCCTGGCTGCTGTTCCTCCCTGCCCAGCTGACTGACACTACAGAGTTGCCATACCATGAATTAAGGTTCAGAATCTGTTGACAGCCCTGGGTCTGCCACCTACAAGCTTTTTTGACCTTGCACCAATTGCTTCCCCTCTCTGTGATCATTTCCTAATCTGTGAGACAGAGCTAAACACAGAACCTACTAGAGAGGATCAGTGAGGTGGAAAGGAGAGGATGGGCACAGGGCCTGGCACAAGGGAGACAGTCTGCAAACACTGGCTGCTGTTAGAGCACCAAGGTCCACATTGCTATCTCCAAGTCATCCCCTCCCACTGGCCTCTGCAGCCAGCCAGACAGGGAGAGATGACAAAAGCCAGGCAGGGCCAAAGGCCCCAATTCTCTGTTCTTTTAATAAAAATAAAGACAGCCCTTAGACATCCTTCTCCCGTTCATTGTTCTGCCGGGGCAAGCAGCGGGCTCAATTCCTCCTCGGACTTGCAAAGTTCCTTCCTTTCTTTCCCCTCCCCTGTCACATTTCCTTTATCTAAATCCTCAGCTATGAAAGGGCATATCGACAGCCGGGGCGTTATCTGGTGGAGGGGACCTTTTCCTCGGTGTCTCTGAGATAAGGCGTCTTATCAGCCCCCATGTCAGGGATGGTGCCAAAGCATTCTAATCATTGAGGCTCGAGACATTTTTTTCCCTCCCTCTCCCCCTTTTTATTATTAAAGTCACAAAAGACCTTGAGCTTATAAACAGATTTTGCAGATAGGGTTTCAAAATGAGCAGTGCTCCCTGGATGGCCCCTGGCCTGGCGCGAGAGTCCATGTGGGGGTTCCAGGAGGCTGGTTTGTGCAAATGAGACAGAGGCAAGACAGTAGAGTCCCAGGCCCCAGTCCTGTCCTAGGCTTGCTGTGTGATCTTGTGCAGAACACTTGGCTTCTCTGGGCCTGCCTTTTATCTGACAATAACGAACTCATTGATGCAGCCATTCATTCGACATCTATTAAATGATCACTCTTTGCCAGGCACTAGAGAGAAAGAGAAATAAGACATAGTCCTTGCCCCTCCGAAACTCACAATCTAATGGAGAGACATGAGCCAGGCATGGTGGCACACGCCTGTAATCCCAGCTCTTGGGAGGCTGAGGCAGGAGGATCATTGCAAGTTCAAGGCCAGCCTGAGCTACAAAGTGAGCTCAAGGTCAGCCTGAACTGCATAGCAAGACCCTGTCTCAAAAAGACAAAAAAAAAAAAGACATGAAAATGGGCAATTACAAGTTGGCAAGATCAGGGCTGAGACGGGGGACACCCAGAGGAGGGAGGACTGAGCGCTAAAACCAACAGGGATGAAGCTGGGGGTGCTGTGGGCAGAGGACCGCATGTCCCCGAGGTGTGAGGAGCTGTCTGGAGGGACAGCCAGGAGGAAGCTGCCAGAGATGAGAGGCCCAGGCCAGAAAGTCAGGCTGCTGCTGAGGCCAGAGAGGTGTTAAGGCCCAAGAGGGCCTCTGATTTGTCTTGTTTGTAGATAAGGGGATGATTTGGGAACGGGGGGCGAGGGGACCCACTCCCCCATCCCAGACCTGTCCCAGCAGCAGGAAGCCATGTAAAGGAAAGAAACCTCTCCTGTCCAAGGGTGACAGGCTTACCGACAGGGCCTTCCCTGCTGGTCTTCTAGAGGCAAGAAAAGGGATGACGTAGCTGCTACCCTGGAAAAGCGGAGCCTGAATGCATGCTGTCTCCTCCTGAAGCTCCCCACTGGCCCTCTGAGCTGTCGGTGGCCCTATTTGGCTGCTAGAGCTGCCTGTGAAAGGGCTCCCAGTGAGGGGCAGCTGGCGGGGCCCAAAAGCCGCACAGCGGGCAGTCTGCCCTCACGTCACAGCTGCAGCCCCAGCTTGCCCTTTTCCACTGCAAGCTGCAGGGACTTGTGGCCCATGGAGTTGTGGGCCTGGCGAGGGCTGGGCTGCTGGTCCCTGGCACCTGGTGAAAGGATGGAGGGAGGGCTGCATATGTCCAGGACCCAGGAAGAAAATGGCCTGGGGGGATCATAGGGATCATGGGGTGACTTTCAGAGTCTGAAGAGGGGCAGCTGTCCACCTGGGGTCACACAGTAGGCACCAGGAGAGGTTTCCCACTTCTAACCCAGGTCTCCTTTGCACTCTGGGTCCCTGGCCTCTCTTCTTCTAGCCTGCTCGGCCCGGCCTCTGGGCAGTAACAGAGCTCCAGGGCTGAGGGCCAGGCGGTTGGGCCACTACCTGCTGGGTGGCCCCGGGCAGGGGTTGCCTTCTTTGGGTCTGTCAAGGGGGGAGGGCATGGACTGGCTTTTTTGAGCTCTCCTCCTACCCTTCCCCTACATCAGGGTGGTAAGACTGGCATGGGGCAGGAGGTGGAAAGGCCTGATACCTTCCGGGTGTGCCGCAGGGGACGGCCTGCGCATGCGGGGAGCGTGTTCCGAGGTGAACGGTGTATTTATGTTCCAGGGGGAGTGTGCGGATGCCCAGCCCGTCATGTCCGGGAGGGCAGAGCACACCCACGTGCCTGGGTGTGTCCTCAAGGCCAGTGACCAGGGATGTGGCGGAGGGGGCCCAAGCCAGGCCTGTTCTGCCACCTGCTCACGTCCCAGGTCCCCGAGGAGCTGTGCTGTGCTCCGCAGTCGAGGACTTTCATCCCTGCAGTAAGCCCCACTTCACTCCCTTTTAAACTGTATAATTTCTGCCTGATTGTAATGGCATATTTTAAAATTACCAGAAATCAAAGCCAGGAAGTGGATACTGCAGCTTTTTATTGCTTTGCTGTTAGGCTGGCGATTGGGGGGAGGGGAGGAGAATCACCTTCCCTCCCCCACATCCATCCCCCACTTTTCTCTCTGTGTCTGTCTCTCCTTTTTTTTTTTTTTTTTTTTTTGAGACAGTAATAGGAGAAAATTGGTTTTGAAACTGAATAAAAGTCCCTTTCAGAGGAAATCATTTCTTTCAGGGTACCTTTGCTGAAAGTAAAATAGAGCATAATGAAAGGTGGTTACGTGATTGTCTTTCATTTACCAAGAGGCCAGGACAGACAGGAGGCTGCCACCGTCTCGGGGAAATACAAGATTGGAATAATTGCGCCGTAACAAGGAGCTTGTTGTGAAATTAGTATCTTAAGAAAGTAGTGAAAAACGGCTTTTCCTCATGAATACTTCATTATTAGAAGAAAGCGGCAGAATTTAGGGCTCCAGACACCTGTTTAGTATTAAATAACTTCCCTTTCTTCCCTTTAAACACACACTCCCTCTCCCTTTTCCTCCTCTTTTTAAACCGTGGCAAGGGTGGAGGTGACCCAGTTGGGGGTGGGGGCAGTTGGCGACAAGGCGCCAGGTTAGGTTGAGCTCACACCTGGCCCCACCTTCTCCCTAGCAGAAGGGATGAGGGAGGGAAGTCCCCTCCCTCGGGTAGCCCAGTGGCTCAGACATTGCCTCAGGCTCCAGAGGCGTCCTCAGCAGGGCAGTGTACTCTGGCATCTGGCTCTGGGAGTGGGTATAGCATGGAAGCCACTTGTAAGCTGCCACCTAAGGGCCACAGAGCTCTGCCTAGCGAAGTAGAGCTGCTGCAGGTGCCCCTGTCCTTTCTACTTGGGCGGCAGGGGTGGAGGAGCTTAGTCAGACAGCGACAGAGATCCCGGGTCAAAGGAGCTTTGGTGACTCGTGGAGCCTGAGCTGTAGTATGCGTTAAGGTTGCAGCTGCCCATGATGGGCTGAGCGATCTGCTCATGGAGTCACAAGAGAACTGGGGTCTGCCACAGCAGGAAGTCAGCCTGCCGTGGGGTTCAGAGGGGAGGATCTTACCTGATTTGGGCATATCACGGCAGCCCGCAGGATGGTGACCCACACGCTGAGCAGGCCAGGGGCACGTAAGATTCATCAGCTCTGGCCCTGTCTTTAGTAGAAATCCACCACTCAAGAGACTTGGGTTCTCTCCCTTCCTGTAATGCCGGGGACGAGCCCCCAGATGCCTCAGTGTCCCCGTCTGTGTGGGGAGGGGGAAAGGGTGGCCCCTTTGAAAGTCTCCAGTGTTTGGTGGGATCCTGCAGAGGGCGGTGGGCGGTGGACGTGGAGCAACCCTGAGTGACCAGCGCCTTGTCTCCCTCCTCACAGGGACCCTGCCGTAGAACGTGCCCCGCTGGGGGCCCCCGACTCAGCCATGCTGGCCTGTCTGCAGAGGACCCAAAACCCACCGGGCCAGCACCTGGCCTGCCCGAGCAAGAGTCTGGAGCTGCGCAAGTGTGAGTAGGAGCCCTCCCCGGCCTCCTGTCCCCTTCTCCTCCTCTGCCTGCCCTCAGCCCACAGGGCCTGCCTTCTGTTCCTTAGGCCCGAGGACAGGCCCCCGCCTAGCACTGTCCCTCGCCCCAGCAAGTCCTTCCACTGTGGTCCTGTCTCTGTATTTTTATTAGCATGCTTGCAATACACAATGGTTCATTCACTGTGGGGAATTGGGACACACACACGTTACATCTTTTTTTTCATTCCCTTCCTCTCTCCTCCTTCCCTCCTCCCTTCATCTCCTGGTCCCTTTCCATGGTCCTGTCTTAGCATCTTGTGTCCCTCCCACCGCCCTCCCTAGGACCCCTGCTAGGCCTCTGCCCATGCTATGCTGCCTTTTGCGGTCCTCCTCCACAGTGGCACCGACTCCTACTGGACAGCACTCTTAACTCAGGCCTGACCTCCTTCCCTGCAGCCTTCTCTGTCCCTGACTGGCACCAGTGCTCCCCTTGTCCTCTCCCATCTCACCACAAGCCCTGTCTGTGTTGCTTACCCTCATTTTCCTGCATTGGTACAAAATAGGATGGCATAGAAGCAAAAATAGTCCCAATCGGGCCCAGCCCAGGGTCTCATTCACTGTGTGATCTTGGGTGCGTCCTTCCCCTCTACCCTTGCTTGTCTGTGTGTCATTTTAGGGAGCCGAACTCGGTGACCTCCTCAGGTCAGTCCTGTTTGACCATGTAGCAGCAGGGTCCCAAGCCATCTGACAGTGTTTTCAGCCACCAAAGGCTTTAAAAAAAAAAACTTTGAAGAACCCAGTAGAGTTAAAAACAGAGAGACTTGAATAAAACCTGGATTTCTAGTGTCTCTTGAAAAAAATCAGAGGGTGCAGTAGCGTAAGCCTGTGAAGCTGTACTGCAGCTTCACCCCAGGAAGGGGATATCTGGCGCCAGTGCACTGCAGTCCCTGCCCCTCCCTCTGGCTGCTCTGTAACCCAGACAGTTGTTTATCATCATGCTTACCATTTTTTTCTTGCATTTTAAATATTTGTCTTTAAACAAGGTGACATTGTTGTTGTCCAGTACACCAAAGGAAGGGGTGTAGAAACAAAAGCCTACCCCTCCTAGAGGCAGCCAAGGTCGTCAGCTACCTGGGTGTTCTCCCAGGTGTTTTATGTACATCCCCGCAAATGTGTAGGTACCCATATTTTACCCTGTCCCGCACCTCACTTTCCCACTGTACGATATATCCTGTGTGTCAGCTTCTAAAAAGCTCCCTTTTTCTTCACCTACATAGTTTTCCCTAGCAAGGGTGAACCCTAATTTACGTGGCCAGCCCTCTCTTCAGACTGTACCCGGTGCCATCACAAGCAATGCAACAATAAACCCGACATATGTCACAGGGTATGCATGAAATCCAGGGTAGGTTTCTCGAAGCGGGAATACTCGGTCAAAGGTACGAGGGTTTGTAATTTTGGTAGCTGTGGTCTGACATCTTTAAGACATCGCGCTGGTGCACACGCCACAGCACTGTGTAAGAGGACCTGCTTCCCCACACCCGCTCCATCACCGTGTCACAGTAGACCTGGAGGTTTGGTTCACCCGAGCAATGAAGAGGATCAGAGTGTAGTTGTGCTTTAGAACAAACGAGGTTGCACATCTTTTCATGTCTGAGCTGTTTGTTGTTCCTTAAAGAATCTACTTATCTTTTTGGTCCATCTTTTGACTGGAGCGATTGTCCTTGTCCTTATTAATTTGTAGGAACTTTTTTTTTTAAATACAGTGTCTCACTGTGCAGCTTAGGCTGGTCTTGATCTCACTATGTACCCCAGGATGGCCTTGAACGTGTGGTGATCGTCTTGCCTCGGCCTCCTGAGTGTTGGCATTACGGGCATGCGATGTAGGAGCTACTCGTAGAGGACAAAACTAGCCTGTTACCTGTCTCATGAATTGGAGAAGTTTTCCCCACCTTGTCCTTTGTCTTTGGTTCTGCCATGGAGGAGCTTTCTTTGGGAAGTGAGTTGTCAGCATTTCCTTTATGGCCTTAGATTTTGCATCATACTTAGAATGTCCTTCTCTGGCTGAGTTGTTTTTCTGTTGGGTTTTGTTGGGTTTTGTTTTGTTTTGTTTTGTTTTGTTTTTAAATACAGGATCTTGTAATTTATTGGTGTAAAGTGTGAGGTATGGATTCAAGTGTCTTGAAATATCAGTGTAATGCTGTTTTAATTATTGTAGTCTAATACTTTTAAAAGTTTTATTGAGATATAATTTACATACCATTTATCCATTTAAAGTAAACAGTTTAGTAGTTTTAGTGTATTCATCAAATGATGCGGTTTTTTTATTTAGCGGTACTAGTGATCGAATCCAGGGCCTTCACAGTGTAACATCTTCAGTACTCTTATTTATTTTTTTAATCTTGAGACAAGGTCTCACTAAGTTGCCTGTGCTGGGCTTGAATTTGTAATCTTCCTGCCTGAGCATTCCAGAGTGCTGGGACTACAGTCATGCACTGCCACGTCCAGTTTACCTGATTCAGTTTTAGAGCATTTTCATAATAAGAAACTCCACATCCATCAGTAGCTACCCCCTTATTTCTCCTCCCACACACATACCCCTTCTCTGTATATAGGTTTTCCAATTCTGGACTTGCCTAAGGGTGGACTCTTATGGTATGTGGTCTTTTGTGAATGGCTTCTTTCATTTAGCATAATGTTTTCAAGGCTCATCCATGTTGTATCATGTATATGTTTTAATATTTGGTAGACCTCATTACTTCTTGTTATTCCTCCCACCCCCATCAAATTTCCCTGGCTGCTGCATGTATTTTACTGTCTGAACTAGGGAATCCACTTGTGTAGGTAAAAACAAAAGTCCCTTGAAGGCTAGGTGTGGTGGTACACGCCTGTAATCCTAGCACTTGGGAGGCTGAGGCAGGCTTGTGAGTTTGAGACCCACCTGGGCTATAAAGTGGGCACAAGCCCAGCCTGAACGGCATAGCGAGACCCAATCTCAAAAAAAGATCCCCCAAAAATCATTTAAAAACCCCAAAAAGCCTATCTGCATTTTTACTATGAGTGCATTACACTTACAGATGAATCTAGGAAGAAATATCATTTCGATAATGGCATCTTTCCCTCTAAGAACATGATATGCCTTACTGTTTGTTCAGACTTCCTTTTGTGTCCCTTAGGAATTTTTTAATATTTGCTTCATTTAGATCTTGTACATTTTTTGGCCATGCTTACCTCTGGATAGTTTGGCTTGATTAGTCTTTTCTTCCGTAAATGGAGGTGGTTTGTATGAAGGCTGTTAACTTCTGCCACCTTACTGAATTCTTTTATTGTTGATAATGTTTTTCAATTTAGTGTCTTGGGTTTTCTAGTGAAAACTACAAATGATAATTTTACCTCCTACTTTGTTTTATGCCATGATTTGTTTTATTTAATAGACTTGGCTACTATCCTTGAACAATGAAAATAATAGCGGTAGTAACAGACATTCTTCCTTTGACATTTCAAGGTTTCCCTATTAAGCAAATGCTGGCTTTGGGACAGGTATTTTATTAGGTTAAGTCAGTCTCCATCTATTCCTGTTTTATTAAGGGGTTGGAAAAAAATCAAGAATGGACTTTGGAACTTTGCCAAATGACTTTTCAGTGTTTATGAAGATGAACATACGGCTTCTCTCCTTCAATCCATTAATATGAATAATGACATTAACAGATTTCTTCATATTGAACCGTCCTTGCATTCCTGGTTGATCTCCACTTGCTCATGGGAAGTATTTCTTTATAATATACTCGCTGACCTGGACTTATTTGACTTGGGATTTTTGTGTCAACTTCATCAGAAAGGTTGTTTTGGAGTTTTCTGTTTTTGGAATAATTTTGTGTTGGGTTTTGCTATCTGGGGAGCCTTTCTCTCTTCCCTGTGATCTTGAGCAGTTTGGTTAGAAATGGAACTACCAGTTCTTTAAAAGCTGCTGGCTGACTCCCTACTGGACTGGGCTAGTGTCTTTACTGGGGTAGGCCAGCAGCTCTTTGATATTGTTCTGTATTTCTTCTGTAATATTTTCTTCTGTAATAATTTATTCTACTGCTTCTTGAATGAGTTTTAGTAAGTTTTGTTTCTCAAAAAAAAAAAAACTATCAGCTTCATCCAGATTTTCAAATTTATTTGCATAAGGTTGAACAAAGCAATTTTTTTCAGTTGTTATAAGTAGTTATTTTAAACCTTGTTTATTTTATGCTTTTTATTTTGGCCATCCTGGGGATCAAACCCAGGGTCTTGCACATGCTAGGCAAGTGCTTTACTATTTGGCTACGTCCCTAACTCCTACCCTTCTTATATATTTTGCAGCCTTTCCCCATTTTTCTTGATTAGCTTTGTTAGCAAATGGTATTATCCATCTCCTTTTCCCAAAGATCTGCCTTGGGTATTTATTAGTAATTACCTTTCCCTAGTTTCTAATTTATTAATTTATGATTTTTAATAAAACCTTTCTTTTGCTCTTCAGTTTTTTTTTTAAATTTCTTGAGTTAAAGGCTTAAACCCTTATACTGACAAACAAAACAAAAAAGGGAAAAATTAAGCTATGAAGTTTCTGAGCACTTTTTTTTTTTTAAAGTACTGGGGATAAAACCCAGGGAAGTACATCTCCAGCCCTTTTAAAAATTTTGTTTTAAAAATTTAGGGTCTTGTTAAGTTGCCCAGGCTGACCTTGATCCTGTAGCTTCAGCCTCCCAGGTAGCTAAGATTATAAGCATGTGCCACCATGCCCAACTTTTGAGCACTTCTTTAGCTATATTCTATTAATGTGTAGTGTTTTCAACTTACTCTCCAGATATTTTATAATTTTGATTCTTTCACTAACCTAAGACTCACTTAAGTCTCATCCATCAAGTAGTAAGTGCTTTTTTCTTTTTTGAGACAGGGTCTAACTATGTATTCCTGGCTGGCCTTGAACTCACTGTGCAATTCAGGCTGGCCTCAAACTCCTGGTGATCTTCCTACCTCAGCCTCCCAAGTACTGGGGATTACAGGCGTGCACCACCATATCCAGCTGATACTTTGTATTTTGTGTGATTTTCGAGCATTTCATTTTTGCATTATGATCAGGGAATCATGTCTTTCTACCTTTTCAAATTTATTGAAGTTTTCTTTGTGATATAATTAATGGTAATTCCTTTATGGGGAATTGAAAAGGTATGGCTCTTATTTGAGGATTCAGAATTTGGTACATACCGATTCTGTCAGGTCTTCTATACATTTACTTCCCTGCCATGGATGGAGAAGGGAATTAGACATCATCTGCTAATGTGTTCTAGTCTCTTTTCTTCTTGTAGCACCTATAGCTTTGACTTTATTACTGATGAAGCAATGTTATTTAATGCACTGATATCAATACCTTAAATCGTGATGTGAATTGCATCCTTCTTTACCATACTTAATACTTTCTGACCTGGACTCAGCAGTACCAATTAAGATAGTAACCTCTTTTTTAAAATTTGGATTTTTCTTGAAATCTCTGCCAATCCTTCTATCAAACTCAGAGCCTTGCGTTTGCCAGGCAGGCACTGTGTATTTCAACATTTCTGAATGACTGTTTTGGTGTGACTCATCCATAAAGTTGGGTCAGCTTTGTGATCCAGTATGAATACCTCTTTTTTTTTCTTTAAATAGAGTTCAGTCATTCTGTGCTTTGTGTTTAGAAGTCTTTCACTGTGTGAGCTGTGTTCTCTGTCTTGTGTACCTACTAGTTCTAAGGTAGGCTGGTGTTGTGTTCTAGTGGAGTAACTTTATATACTCTTTAGTTCTTTATTTCTTCACAAGAATATCTCTCATTTTCCCTGAGATGAACAAAATGATGAAATTAGTGTATTTCATTTTTCTCTCCACAACATCTTCTTAGAGTTGACTTTGTATTTTTAGGCTTCTGATACTGACATCAGCTTTAAATGATATTTAAATGATATTTTGTCTTTTTTTTTCTTTTGAGACAGGGTGTCACTATGGATTTCAGGCTGGCCTTGAGCTCACTTTATAGCTCAGGCTGGCCCAAACTCACAACAGTCCTCCTGCCTCAGCCTCCCAAGTGCTAGGATTACAGGCGTGCGCCACCACATCTGGCTAAATGATATCTTTTGGACCCAGCTATTAAATGAGGGTAACAGTGTACTCTCCCATCCCCCTCTCCCCCATTTCCTTCCAGCCTTTGTGATACCACTGCTGTACTCTCAGGCTTTGTAATGTTAGCATCTGGCCCCATCACTGCGATTCTTGGCATTTGTTTGCAGTGTCCCAGATAACTGAAGTTGGCGCTCACCACCAGTTCTTCTGCCTGAGCACCCACTACCAGTGTACTGGTTAGGAAGGTCTCAGGGGACCAGTACTCACTGCTCCCACACATTCAGAATGGTCTCTCTGTTGCCTTTTTACTGAATGAGGACTTTGTAGACTTTGTTCTAACACCACATGTTGCCATCAAGAAGTTGAAGCTGATTTTTCCCCCTTGATCTTTCTGTATTTTTCACATCCAGTTACTTTACTAGGATGTGTCTTGGGGTCAACCTGTTTGGAGCCCATTTTTTCCTGGAACATAGTACTGTGCCCCTTGAACATACAAATCCCAGGTTTGGATTATTTCAGTTTCCTTCTTTGGTGGGTCCAGCTAAACTCAGATTGGCTTTCACTTGCCTTTCTACATGTACGTTCTTCTAAGAAAAGCTAGCTCCCTACTTCCTTTTACTCACTTTTCTTCCTATGTTTTCAGCACCTCTCTTTTTTCCTTGTGCTTACTCTGTTCTCCCTTTACTCTGACAACAAAGTTTTTTCCCTTCTACTCTTGTATATCTGCTTTGTGGTGTTGCTTTAGCTGATTACATTTTTTTCCTTCATGATAAAATATTTGGCTGTAACCTTCATCTCTTCTGTAGCTGCAACCTTCTGATGGAAGTGTTTTTTTGCCAACCACAACTCACCTTACGCTTTGCCTTGCTTTCATCTTTCTAGTATCTTTTGTTTAGGTCCTATGCTTCTCCAATATGGATTATTCACCTTGGGAAGAAGTGAGTTTTTCCAAGCCCAGATGTTTGCAGGAGGTTTAGGTTGAAAATGGCTAGGGCCATGTCCTGGGCCAGCTGGAATTTTTCTTAGAACCCAGACTTTCATACATGCACACATTCATCCTTTATTTCCCTCTAGCTGCCTTGGAGACAAGTAGGTTCCTACAAATATGGCTTGTTTGTGTGGTTTGTTATGTAGCCCAACCTCCTCTATTCTTCTGAAGCAGCCACACGACTTTTTTTCTCTGCTGGTCTGTCACCAGCCGATGCACCCCACTTTCACTGCTCCAAATAAGGGGTTTAGATTTTGTGCCTCAGGTATACCCCTCCCCTTTGGGAAGTGCAGGCTTCTGGCTCTGAAAAATCTGCAGCCACACCACCTTTTCTCTGCTTCTTCTCTCAGCCTTAACCTAACCCCTGCTGCTGTGGCAGTCTCTCTGCCTCGTTTGTTGGTTTAGGGATTTAACAGCCTCACTGTATTCCACTGCACGAAGAATAACGTGTTTTATTTTATCCCCTTATTGATAGACACCTACATTGTTTCTAGTCTGTCACTACTTGGAACATCTTCATACTGAGTTATCTGCAGAGGAACTATGCCAGGAGGTACTTGCTGTCTTGAGAGGTCTTGTGTCTTAACCTGTGATTGCTCCTGTTCAGCTGGTAGAGCTCCCCATCTCCCCTCTCTGCTACCAGCTGGCTAAAGCAGCTGCTTGACTTCCTCCTGCTTCCAGGCCAGAACGAGACAGCATAGAGGGCCTCTGCAGATGTCCCCCTTGCCCTGCCCACTCAGATCCTTTCACATCACTGCACTTACTGGAAAAGACACCGACTCTGCCTGTAATTGAAGAACACAGGAAAGAGGGAGGCAGGAAAGGAGATAAGCAAATTGAATTGGGTGCCCTGCTGCCAGTCAGTGCCTGGACACTGGGTCAAGGAGGCTCCTGTTTTTTCCTTCTGGGCATGACTCTTGGCTGATGGAGACCTCTTGTCCATGTTCCCCTGGGCAGAGCTGCAATGAGAAGGGCTGGCCCTGAGCTTTGGTCTGTGCTATTTCTCGCTAAGGAAGAAAGGTCTCGTGCAGGTCATGGGCAGAGTGACCCTGGACAAGTTGATCAGCCTCCTGGAACTTGTGCTCCTCTTGTGTAAAGTGCAGATCAAATGAGGTGAACCAAAGAAGCCACCTAGCTCTGACCACTGGTGATTAGAATGTCAGTAGCTCAGTTGCAGGCCTTAGGGAACAGTTCGAGGTACCCTCTCAAATCCCCTCTTCCTGTGATGTGGGGACGAGAGCTGTAACGAGGACCAGCTGCATGTGTGCGCAGAGTAAGGTAGTGCTGTGGTGCAGTCCCTGCGTGCTGAGGTCAGACTGGACAGGGAAACCAGCTGCACAGGTCTGGGCCCTGGACTGCTATGGCCTATCCCAAGTGACTTCAGAAAGTGACCTGAAGAAAAGGAAAGAAAATAAAGATTTTAAGGAGCGGAAAAGTCCATTCTCTTCCCCTACCTCTGGTCTGAAGCTCCTCCCAGCTGGCCAGAGTCCCAGGGTCTCCAACAGGACCTGCCCACCCTGGGACAGAAACCTGTTTATCTCAGCTGCTCAGGACCTTCCCCACTAATAAATATTTGACTTTCTCATCATAGTGCTATATACAAACTTTGAGTCACACACTGCTAAAAATACAGGCTGTGCAGAGTCCCTGAGAGGCACCCTGGGGGCCAGTGTGGGGGTTGATTCAGGGGCTGAGCCTCTCCCGTGCCCAGGAGGCAGCCTTGAGCTGTCACCATCCTCTGCCGGACCTTGGTAAGTAACGTAGCTGCTCCTCCGTGGGGAGGGGAGCGCACACCCTTGACCTCCTTCCCATGAGCTACAGGACATGATCTTGGGGATCTCGGGGACTGAAACAGGTCTAGGGGTCAAATCCTGGTTCTGGGCACAGGTGTGACCTAGGACAAATGGGTGACAGCGCCTCAGTTTTCTTCTGTGTGACATGGGCATAAGAATGAAAGGAGAGAAACACTCCCCCAGGGCTTGGGAGCCACTGCTTTGCACCCAGTCCCCAGTGCCCATGCTCATGAGAGGACAAGAGCTTCCCTGACCCATCTCTTGTCTCCACTGATGGGAAACTTCTGAAATCACATAACCCAAGATGAGCAGGGAGCTGCCCATCCTGGCCGCACCCCAACCCTGGCCCCACTCCAAAGGCCCCCACGATCCCCCCACCCCCAGGGCTGAAGCTACTGCCTGAGTGGAGCTCAGCCTGCAGGCATTCCTGCAGAGGCTGCTGCTTCCAGCCACACTAATAAAACACAGAAGAAAAAGGGCAGTTTAAAATTCCAATAAAATTAAAAACAAATCCTGGGCCACACAGCAGATTCAATTATACAGCTGTTGCTGAGTACAGCCCAAGGGGTGTCTGGTGCTGGCCCTGCAAGAACCAGCCTGGGAAAGGGCAGAGGCTTGGGGATGCAGGGCCAGGAAGGGAGAATGGACTGAATAATCCACTCATGACTTAACAAAGAAAAACAAGCTCTGAGCTAACTAGGAGGGGAGGCAGCTTCTTTTCTAGCCCAGAGCATCTAGCCCCAGCCCATTGCCATAAACCTGAGGGGAAGGCAGTATCAGCAGGAGCACAGATCCAGATCCCTGCCTGTCAACACCGAGGCAGGGAGATGGAAAGTCAGTGAGGAGGGGTAAGGATCAGGCCAGGGGTGGTGCTGCAGGCCCTTAATCCCAGCACTCTGGGATCACAAGATCAAACCCAGAGTAGACAGTTTAGTGAGATTGTAAAATGATTTAGTGAGACTGTGTAAAAATAAATGGCTGGGGACACAGCATAGTGCAAAGGCCTTGGGTTCAGTCCCCACTGCAGAAAAGGAATGAAGCCATTTGCGTAGAAGTCACAAGAGAATAAGCCTTCAACAAGACTGTGAATATAAGATCAACATATAAACAATTATTTTGTACAGTGAAGGCTGGCGTACGTGTGGTGCAGAACAGATACCTTCAGCCTTGAAAGCCATACAGTCTCTATTATAATTTACCAACACTTATGCTTCAGCAGGCAGCCAGATGCCTACATAAATAAATGGGCATGGCTGTGTTCCAATAAAACTTTATTGACAAGATAGGCAGCGGGGGGCGGGGGGACTGGGGATTTAGCTCAGCGGCAAAGCACCTGCCTGGCAAGCGCAAGGTCGTGAGTTCAGTTCCTGGTACCGGAGAAAAACCAAAAAAAAAAAAAAGAAAGATAAGCAGCGGGCAAAATTTGGCCCCCATATGCAGTAGTTTGTGGCCCTTGCTCTCCACTGATAAAGAGTTGGCAAATACATATTGTAAAGATGCTGTTACAGTTTTTTGAACAATGATACATAATTTGCACACTGCACAATTTACCCATTTATACTGTACTATTCAATAGTTTCTTAATATATTCACAGAATCATTCAATCACCACCACTAAGTTTAAGAAATTTTCATCATCTCCAAAAAGTACTCCCAAATTTATTAGTAGCCACTTGCCATTTCTCCCCAGCCTTCTTGGCCTCAAGCAGTCGCTAAACTATTTTGTCTGTACAGAATTTGTTCTTTTGGACAACTCATACAAATGAACTCATGAAATACGTGACATTTTATGACTAGTTTCGTTTCCTTAACATTTCCAAAGTTCATCCACATTGTAGGGTATATCAGCAGTTTTCCTTCTTATTGCTGAATACTCCATTCTAGGGCTATATCATGTTTTATTTATCTATTTATCAATTGCATGGGGTGTTTTCTCCCACTGATTTGGCTATTATGAATGCTATGAACATTCGTGTATGTGTTTTCATGTAGACGTGTGTTACCATTTCTCTTGTGTGTACACAGACAAGTGGAATTACTGGGTTATATGGTAACTATTTGCCTTGTTGAGGATGTGCCACTGTTTTCCAGAAAGACTGTACCATATTACATTCCTATCAGTAGCGTATGAGGGTTCCAGTTTCTCCACACCTTCACCAACATTTGTTGCTATTTTTTATCACAGCCATCTTAGTGGATATGAAGTAGTAGATCAATGTGCTTCCATTTCCCTAATGACTAAGGATGTGGAAGATCTTTTTATGTGCTTATTGGCCTTTGTGTATCTTCTAAGAAATGTCTACTCAGATGCTTTGCTTATTTAAGTTGTCTTGTTCTTATTGAATCATAGAAATTCAGGTCAGGCATAGTAGAGCGTGCCTGTAATCCCAGCAGTCTGAGAAGCTGAGGCAGGAAGAATCCAAGTTTGAGCCTAGTCCCAGCAACTTAGTGATTTAGGGACACCTTATCTCAAAATGAAAAATAAAATTTAGGGGCTGGGGATTTAGCTCAGCGGCAAAGCGCCTGCCTGGCAAGCGCAAGGTCGTGAGTTCGGTTCCCGGTACCGGAGAAAAACCAAAAAAAAATTAAAAAAAATAAAATTTAAAAGAACTGGGAATATAGCTCCATGCAAATGTCCTGGGCTCAACTCTAAGTACCGAAAATGTCTTATATTCTAGGTAAAAGTCATGTGACACACACGGGATTTGCAAATATTTTCTCCCATTCTGAGGTTGCCTTCTTCACTTTCTTCATGGTATCTTTTGAAGCAAAAAGCTTTCAGTTTTGATGAGTGTCTTTTGTGGCTTGTGTTTTGATGTTTTATTTAAGAAGGCTTTGTATAACCCAAGGTCACGAAGATGTACTCTTGTATTTTCTTATAAGAGCTTTCTAGTTTTTGCTCTTCCATTTAGGCCTTTGATATGTTTTGAGTTAATTTGTGTGTGGTGTGAAGAAAGAACTTCCTTCTTTTGCATGCCGGTTATCTCACATTTAAAGAGACCAATCTTTGCTGAATTGATATTTTGGAACCCTTGGCAAAAGACAACTAGCCATAAATGTGCGGTTTATCTCTGGATTCTAATGCCACTGACACGCCTATCTTTATGCCAGTACCACAATGTCTTGATTTTTCCGACTCTGTCCTTCTTAAGCATTGTTTTGGCTATTCTGAGTTCCATGAATTTTAGGATCAGTTTGTTAATTTCTGCAAAGAAGCCAGCTGAGACTCTGACAGACTGCACTGGGTCTTTACAGCTATTTGGGGAACATTGTGTCTTAATAATAAGGCTTCCAACCCATGAACATGGAGTATCTGCCCATTCATTTTTTATCATTTTCAGATTATAAATGTTGCTGTTTTGTTAAAATATATATTCTTTTTGTTGCTGTTGTAAATGTAATTTTTCTTCTTTTGTTTGGGGGTGGGAGGCTGCTAGGGATCAAATCCATAGCCTTGTGCATGCAAGACAAGTGCTGTACCCTTCAGCCACATCCTCAGCCCTAGAATTGTCATCTTAATTTCATTTGGTTGTTCAGTGTGAAGAAATACAGCTGATTTTCGTATCTTGGTCATATATGCTGCAATCTTGTAGAGCCTGGTTATTCTAACAGTTTTTGTCATCAGTGAATAGAGATGGTTTTACTTCTAATAGAATGTCTTCTCTTTTTCTTATTTAATGCCTTGGCAATTGAAGTTTCCTTCAGTATAGTGCTGCAGAGAAGTGGCATAAGCAGGCCGCTTTGTCTGATGCTACATTTTAGAGAGAAAGCATTTGGTCTTTTACCACATATGAACTCAGCTATGGATTTTTCATCGTTTCTTGAATATGGTTATTTTGAAAGGGTAGAGACTGAGCTTTTTCTGCAGCCACAGAGCTGAACATGTGGCAGCTGCCCTTTATCAATATGGCATGTTAGGTTAATTGACAATTTGATGTTGAACCACCCTTGCATTCTTCGGATAAGTCCCACTTGGTCAGGGTGTATAGTCCTTTCTATACACTGAGGGGTTTGGTTTGGTCATATGTTGACTTTTCCATCTATATGCATAAAACTTATTGATCCATAGTTTGTTTTGGGTTTTTTTGGTTTTTTTGCTTTTTGTTTTGGTTTTTTTCCAGTACCAAGAATCGAACTCATGACCTCGTACTTGCCAGGCAGGTACTGTGCCACTGAGCTAAATCCCCAGCCCCTTGATCCATAGTTTATGAGACAGATCTTTAGTTGTGGTATTAGGGTAATACTGGCCTATGCAGAATTTGCAAGCATTCTTTTTTTCTTTCCCAGAAGTTTGTAAAGAACTTGTATTAAATTTTTAAATGCGCCTGACTGGCACTTTTAATTGTGGGTGGTATTTTGACCAGTCGATCTCTTGTTAAATTTGTTATGTCACTTTGGGTGGCTTATACTTAGGAATTTGTCCAGTGCATCTAAGTTATGATATACAATTTAAAATTGTGATAAAATAGTTCCGAGTTTGATCTCAAGTATCACAAAATAAAATTAAAATAAAATAGACAAAAGATCCAAACAACCTTTACAGAGAAAAATTAAAACTTACTCAGTGATTTCTTTTTTTCAACACTAAGGATGTAACTA